GCGAGCTATTTAGTCTGTTTATCAGCATAAATTAAATTGGTATCGTCATCAAAAAGATGAAAGTCAAAGATTTCAGAGCAATTGGGCCCGTCATAACGAAGATAGTGGTTTTCAATGTGAAAATGCCGATATTTGGAACGTAATTGTTTGAACTGAAACACTTTTAGCTCAAATGAATTGCCAGTTAGGGCAATGTAAGTGAAGAACATTTGATATAGGTAAACTTTTTCTAGACCGTACTTTTCCTTTCCGCTTCAGATCATGGCCGAAAAAGTATACTAGCTATTTTGAATTTTTAGATTCACATTATCCTTGAGTCTTATGGAAAGCTTCTATTATTTCATACCAGGTATATCCTGGTTTGAATAAAAGGAGTAAGTTTCTAAAGAAACTGTCGTGCTGCGTTAGTGGGGGAGTGTAACAAGGTATTTTGGTTTTATCAACTGAGTTAATAAAGTAAAATAGCCACCGTAAAGAGTTTCAAAGCTGACGTTGCGAGCGTTAGCCCTTCGTCAGTGCGATTCATTCGCCATTCGCTCTGAGGAAGGGCCAGCGCTCGAAACGTCAGCTTTGATACTCTCTACGGTATCCAAATCAACTGAGTTGATAAAACCAAAAATACCTTGTTATATCCTGTTTTGACTGTGTAAAAGACGCACATTGGGTACTGTATTCCTTCCTCTAGGTGGACAACTTAAACAGACACGTGGTCCGCCTCAGGCAGCTGGCTGTGGCGGCTAAAGCTGCAGGGGATGCAGAGGAGTACGCTATGGATGCTGGGAATGAAGGCGAAGCTCCTGCGCATGATCCAGCCTCTCTACAGAGAGTTGAGCTTGTTCATAGGACATCAATAGAAGTTGAACGAATCACACCTCAGCTGATAACTGCTGCTCAGGTTTGTGGTGATCAACTTGCTACAACTCCAAAAGCGTGAAAGAAGCCTGGGAATTGAATTTTAAGAAAATATGTGACTTTTTTATAAAAGACATCTATCGACAGTTCGTCTGTCATCTTCAATTGAAATATTTACTAAGTACAAAGTTGATTTTAAAGTGTATAACAAAATGCTCATGGGACAAAACAACACTAGAAACAAAAGAATGTATGTAATTACAAAGAAAGTCGTAGATAAACATGATACAGGAGATGATTCAGTGTAAGTTGCTCCATTGAATATGAGTGGCTTCTCTGATTTTAAGTTGGACGGTTGTGGAAGCGTCATTTAAGATGTTAAAACACTCGAGGCGTATGATCTTCTGATACACAAGTGAGACTGCTATGGCAAAACCCTGGTGATTCGCGCTTACGATGCGAAGCGTTCCTAAACGTGAAGGTTACCGACTCATGTAGAGAATGCCGATTTATTTTTGGACTGGTTGCCAACGATAACAGTCAGACTACAAAGCAAATAGGTTGTTTGTGTTTTGAATATGAAATAACATTTGAAGGGTTGAAATCGCTAGAAATGTTACCTACAATTCTGGCCGACAGTCCATACATCTCTACGCGTTCTTTTTGCGGATGTCTCCTGATGACTGCTAGTCCAGTATTAAATTCGTCGCGTCTATTTAAATAAAAAGGGCTAATTCTTCCCCAGATTTCCTACGACAGCATTCTGGCGCCAAAACCGAATAACTAAATAACTATACAAGGGGTTCATTTATTTGAAGTATAGGTTAAAATTTTTACTTTACTAAGCGCAAATCACCTGGTGCCAGTGGATACCTGTTTGATCGTGACTTTTTAAAGAATTTTTACATTACCTTATTTGTTTCCTTTTCTTGTTGGAATATGATATAATATTTTCTAGTCTTAAATGAAAGCAGGACCAATCTGTAAAAGAGCCCGAAGTCATCATTTTGTTTCTTTCGTTTCTAAAGGGCAAGTTCTGTTAAAATTTTCATTTCCTTTTGCCTTAATACAGTATTTCTTTTTCACACAGGCACTCTCAAGGGATCCGGCAGACATTGCAAATGTTGAACGACTTGAGCTCCGGAGGAGGGACTGGGCCTCGAAAGTTCACGGTCTTGTATACGCAGTGGATGACGTCACTGTTGGTACTTCTGCGCCCGTTTAACAATTAGCAGCGGTTGCCATGGCAGGTGACAAGCATGCGCTTCAAGAAAACTCGCGCATGTTAACGTCATATGCGCGAACTCTAAAAGGAATGGTTGATGCGGCAATTGCTGGGTGAGTTGCCGATGGTGAGAAAAGGCCTTTGTATAGTGTTCAATTAAAAATGTTGGTGTAAAGAAATTATTCGCAAAGTGCTGCTAAAGTATCTCTTCATTTTGGACAGGGCTCATAAGGAATGTGCAAGAGAAACTAAGGTCTCATTTTTTGTATTGAAATGAGTGTTGTAATTATGATGCTGGAACTGGGCCGTTTCTGCTGTCGATTGATCCAGTATTGAAGTTGATAGGCCCTCTCTGGCATCAGCGATAATAATACAATATCACAATTGGTATTCCTCTTAAATAGTTTCTTTCAATGTTGCTCTTCTTAGATGTAAAGAACCCAAGAAAGTTAGCTTAGCCAAGGGTACAGTTAACTCCATTGACAAGCTCACCGCTGACCTCCAAGACACGTCTCGTTTAGTGTCGGAGATGGCACTTCGAGAAAATAGAACACTAGAGCAAAGTTTGTCTTACATGGGGGTGGTGGAGAGGATGAATCTTCTTCAGAGGGAGTGGGCAATTAAGGTAGGTGAACACAAACCGAGAGAACTTGATTGGTCAATTATGCACCTCATGTGTTCATCTTCGATTTCGCGTGCCGATCCATCACTTGCGCTGGCCCAAATGGAGTGCTTTCGAGTGTTTATTTTGTGTTGTTTTTTTTCTTGTCGTTTTGAGAGAGACCTGTTTTGGCTGTTAACAAAGTTTTGGGGTCGCAGTTCCAGGAAGAATTCCTTTTGAAGAGAACATCAAGGACTACTTTCAAATAGAGCCTTATTTTATATACAGCTTATGCAGTATAGAGCAAAAAGGCCGCTCGTAAGTTATTTCCGACCATCAAATAAAGGATTCATTACTCCACTATCATTCAATTTTCGATTATTTTTTTTTTTAGCCCCTAGTTTTGAAATACACCTCACGGCATTGTGTGAGAATCTTTCCGGCGTTTGAATTTTCAGCTGTTGTGAGGGAGACTTTGAATAGATTTCGGAGTTTTTAAGTCCGGTGTTTTCTTTGGTAATTGTAAATCGAAATTGCAGCGATGCCTTAGTGACAAATAGCGGGTCAAGGTTAGTTTGTTCGAGTTTTTGTAACATTGGGTTACCTTGTAATTTTCATTTTCTATTATCTCGTGCATCTCCAGGTTCATTTGCTGACGGCTCTCATTGACGACCTGACGGCTGAAGCCTCCGCACCAGTCGATCGTCTGGCAGGTGCTGCGCTAGCTGTGAGCAAAGCAGAACTTGGTGAAAGAGTAGAAAAACAGCGTGACTTCGAGATGCAGGCGGATGAACTGAAAGCACGAGTTGCACGTGTTAGGGCACACGCCAGTAAGGCTGTGGAGAATTCCCGGCATGCAAGTAAAGTTAGGATAGTTCGCGTGACTGGGGACTTTATTGACAGGCTGACTCCACAAGTTATTGCTGCAGCACGTGCCCTGGCAGGTGAGATAATATTTACTTATTGACTGAATGGGAGGGCCGGACGGAAATATATTTGGGTCGAGGTAATGCGAGGTTTGCGTGTTATGAATATCGATGCGAAGTTCTAAATTTCGATCTTTTCTTAAGCATAACTTAATCGTGTATCTTTGAAAAACCTTTCAGACAATCCAGACCAGCCGACTGTGGAACATTTTCAGATGTTGAGGCGTCAATGGGCGTCCAAGGCGCAGCTATTGATGGCAACACTC